AAATTATCTATTTTTACATTATCATACATGTATTATCAAATCACATCCTGCAACAAAATAATAAGTATTTTCAAACAACCACTCAGGGAAGCAGCATTTTCTTCACCTTTCCATGGGACAACTGGACTAAGTTGAGGTAAAAGAAATAGCAGTGTTTTGATGTATAGGCTATCTTTTATTCACACCTGGATTAATTATATTGCAGATATTTTCCTGAGTATTTTACTTGGTGATTTATCCTTTATCGATATTTTTGTCTTAGAAAAGACCTTCTAATTTGTGAAATAATATTTTGCATATTAAAAAAGGAAAATATTCAATTAGGTATTTTAAAAATGAGTCACTAGGCTTTATTTGCTGCAAATAGTTTTACATAAGTCATGCTTAAATAGAAATGAATGCAAGACTGTAGGTTGGAAAAAATACCTGTCATTTGCCGTTTTCTTTTTCCTATTTCCGATCTCAGTGCATAACATTGAAAATACATTTTGTATGATCTGTTCCATTGACGTAGCTATATCTTAAGTTTATTTTTCTCAAAATTTCATGCTACTTTTATGTTCTGAAACAGTTTCACTACTTTTCAGATTTTCAACATTTTAGAGTACTTGTGTAACGTGTCATTGATATAAAACTTATCACTTCTTTAAATGTTTGAGCCGTAGCAAAATTGATAGAATTTTTTAATATTAACATTTAAGAAGTATCCTTTTTAGTGTTTTTATCTCTTTACTACATCTTTAGGGCTTTTAAAGAAGTCTTATTGTAAGTTCTGTTAAGGCTGTTGCCGTACTACATGCTTTTCTGAAAGGAGTTTCATTTACCAAGTTTATACTAGAATCCCTTTTTATTCTCTTTTTTTTTAAATTTTATTTAAGGAGAAAAAAAAGCAGAGAAAGGGTACAAGTTATACAGATTTACAGAAAAAAAATAAACAGTAGGAAATCACTAGTTAATGGATTACATATTGTCATCTTAGAAATAATTGTTCAAGTCATAAAATTAAAGCTTGTAAAGTGGACATTCCAACAATGATACTGCAAACAGTTCTGTTCAATAATCAAATAAAACTCTGTGATATCATTTTCTATCTTATACACTTAAATATACATGCAGTTATATAGTTTAGAGAACTTTCTTTTCCTCTCTTTTGTACAATGACTATTACATATTTTGGGTTTCATTGCTCCCACGATTCTTATTACTTTTTTGGAAGAGAGTAAAACCAAATGTGACATAACAGTACAGAATCGGTCAAATCAAAAGGGTGGACATAATAGATAATGTAAAAACATAATACAAGGTGATCAACAATGGTTACCATAATGCCTCCCGCTATCTCTAATAGAATTGCCTATATCATTAGTTATAATAAGATTGAACAAAACAGTAAAAAACAAAACCGACAAAACCAAAACATTGGAGACATTGTAGGTCTTCAAAAGTAGATAAAAGTCAACGAGAATGGGCGTTATAATGAATCTCATTATCTTCACAGCTGATGCCTAAACTTTCGAACCTGATACTATCCAGCAAAACAGAATAGGAGAACATCAGTCAAAAACAAGATGGTGAGATAATGGAAAGTCAAAGTGAGTTACTATAATATATCCTGCTATTTTTATTTATTTTTCCTTTAATTAAAAGGATAAAAATAAAAAAGTAAATAATGGAGTGGAGATTGAGATATAACAGGGCATAACAGTGAAACAGCGCAGATCAAAACAAAACCATTTAAGCAGAATAGTGTTTCACCACCAGATAATCCTGACCTAAAAATAGTTACCATATTGTCACTTTCCTTGAAATCCTTGAGTACAACTTCGTATACTGTAGCATTAAATATATGAAAACAATCTAAAACCATTTAAGAGAATGACAGCATTACAGAGTATTTAGAATTGACTAACAGAAAATGAACAATGGTTTCTGTATAATCTCCTTGTCTTTAAAAGGTTTTTGCTTATACTATCGCACATAATAAAATCCAATAAGATACAACCTATTTAGATCAATGGAGACAGAAGAACAAAAGCTTGATGAGACTTCAAAACAAGATGATACTAAATCAGTATTACCTTTTAAGATGTCATTTTCTCCAAAATAGCTGTTCCTATCATCCAATCTTCTCTGCCTCATTTCTGTTGAGCTCTTTTTCTGTCAGTAGCTGACAGTTTGTCTTCTTCATTTTGTTCTCTGCTCCATTCGTTGTGGGCTCCCCGCCACTATTTCTGGATTCTTTGTTTTTTTCTTTTTTTAGAATATCCTGCAATACTCTCTGTAGAGTTGAATTGGTGGTTGCAAATTCCCCCAGTTCCTCTTTATCCTGGAAGCATCTTGTTTTTCCATCAATTTCCAGGGACAGTTGTGCAGGATATCTCAATCTTGGCTGGAGATTATTATCTTTCAAAGCTTGAATTATTTCCCTCCATGCTCTTCGTGATTTGATGGTTTGTGCAGAGAAATCTGCTGTAATTCTGATGGGTGTTCCCTTGTAAGTGGTCTGTTTCTTGTCTCTGACAGCTTTTAATATTCTGTTCTTGTATTGGATTTCTGGAATTTTAATTATTATATGCCTGTGTGTTGCTCTGTTTGGGTGGTAGGTGGCTGGGGTCCTGTATGCTTCATACAACTGAGTATCTTTATCTTTTGCTAAATTAGGAAAATTCTCCTGGATTATTTCTGTGAGTAGCTTTTATAGTTCATTTGTTTGTGTCCCTACTTCTTCTTTTATGTTCTTAATTCTTAAGTTATAGACCCTCTTATCATCTTCTAGTCTTTGTATTATTGCTGTTTGTTTCTTTGTTATTTTTAAGAAGTTTTTCATTTCATGCTCCCATATTACAAATCTGCCCTCCAATTCAGATAATCTGTCCTTAGTTTCTTTCAAGCTGTTATGCCAGTTTTTGATAGACTTCTTAGTTTCCTGGTAATCTCTTTGAACCTGCTTTACGTATTCTATGCTTTCTCTATTTTACAATTAAACAATTCTCCCCTCTTTTTCTGTTCTTCCATTCCACCATCTGTTTTTTCTTGGGTGGTACTTAGCATTTCTCTAACTATTCTGTTTATCTCTAGCTTTAGGTCATTAATAACTTCATTCCTGAACTTGTCTATGAGGCTCTCGAGATAGCGCTTTATATCTATTCGTGCTGTGTCTGTCCAGAAGTAGCAGCAGAGAGGCCACAATGAATGGAGCAGAAAACAAAATGAAGAAGACAAACTGACAACTAATGACAGAAAAAGAGCTCAACAGAAATGAGGCAGAGAAGATTGGATGATAGGAACAGCTATTTTGGAGAAAATGACATCTTAATAGGTAATACTGATTTAGTATCTATCATCTTGTTTTGAAGTCTCATCAAGCTTTTGTTCTTCTGTCTCCATTGATCTAAATGGGTTGTATCTTATTGGATTTTATTATGTATGATAGTATAAGCAAAAACCTTTTATAGACAAGGAGATTATACAGAAACCATTGTTCATTTTCTGTTAGTTGATTCTAAATACCCTGTAATACTGTCATTCTCTTAAATGGTTTTACATTGTTTTGATATATTTGATGCTTCAGTATACAAAGTTATACTCAAAGATTTCAAGGAAAGAGATAATACGGTAACTACTTTTATGTCGAGATAATCTTGTGGTGAAACACTATTTTGCTTAAATGGTTATGTTTTGATCTGTGCTGATTTGCTGTTATGCCCTCTTTTATCTCAATCTCCATTTTAGTATTTACTTATTTTATCCTTTAATTAAGGGAAAAATAAATGAAAAAATAACAGGATATATTATAGTAACCCACTTTGACATTCCATTATCTTGATTTAAAGCCCTGTATTGCTCTCACTATCTTGTTTTGACTAATGTTCCTCTATTCTGTTTTGCTTGATAGTACCAGGTTTGAAAGTTTAGGCAACAGCTGTGAAGATAGTGGGATTCATTATAACGCCCATTCTGGTTGACTATTATCTACTATTGAAGGCCTATAATGTCTCCAATGTTTTGGTTTTGTTGGTTTTGTTTTTTACTGTTTTTTTTTCAATTTTATTATAACTAATGATATAGGCAATTCTATTAGAGATAGCGGGAGGCATTATGGTAACCATTGTTGATCACCTTATATTATGCTTTTACATTATCTATTATGTCCACCCTTTTGATTTGACTGACTGTTCTGTTATGTCACATTTGGTTCTATTCTCTTCCAAAAAAGTAATAAGAACTGTGGGAGCAACAAAACCCAAAATGTGTAATAGTCATTGTACAAAAGAGAGGAAAAGAAAGTGCTCTAAACGATATAACTGCATGTATGTTTAAGTGTATAAGATAGATAATGATATTACTGAGTTTTGTTGGATCATTGAACAGAACTATTTGCAGTCTCACTGTTGGAATGTCCACTTTATAAGCTTTAATTTTGTAACTTGAACAATTATTTCTAAGATGACAAAATGTAATCCATTAACTAGGGATTTCCTACTGTTTATTTTTTTCTGTAAATCTGTATAACTTGTACCCTTTCTCTGCTTTTTTTTTCTTTTTCTCCTTAAATAAAATTTTTTTTAAAAAGAAGACTTTTTCTCAAAATAATAAAATTTATAAGGGTTGTGAATATATTTCAGGGAAAAGTTTCTGAGTTCAATCCCACATACTGAAGAAGAAAGAGAAAGAAAACACAAAACAAGAAAAATATAAAAAAGCCACCATTTAGTTCAGGTCCACTGAGTTTCTGGGGATGGGACTGTGAAAAAGAAAAAGAAATAATAAACTTTGGCAAGTGACAATTTTAATTTTCTCTAGATATGGAGCAGTGTGTGAAGTGTCTAGATCATCAATATGCCAACACTCAGAGAAATCATTGCTTGCATAAATAGTGACTTTTTTGGCTTATGAAAATCTTTTGGGAAAAGCTCTGGCTGGCACCACCCTGTCTCACTGCCCTCACAGCTGCTATCCTTGGGCTCTTTGTGAAGCACTGAGACACTCCCATTGTCAAGGCCAACAACCAGGCTCTCAGCTACACCCTGCTCATCTCTCTCACCTTCTGTTTCCTCTGTTCGTTGCTCTTCATTGGCCATCCCAAAACAGCCACCTGCATCCTCCAGCAGACCACATTTGCAGTTGTCTTCACTGTGGCTGTTTCTTCTGTCTTGGCCAAAACCATTACTGTGATGCTGGCCTTTAAGATCACTGCTCCAGGCAGCAGGATGAGGCAGTTGCTGGTATCAGGGGCACCAAACTACATCATCCCCACCTGTTCCATGATCCAACTCACTCTCTGTGGCATCTGGATGGGGACAATTCCACCCTACATTGACACAGATGCACACTCTGAGCTTGGCCACATCATCATTGTGTGCAACAAGGGCTCCCTCACTGCCTTCTACCGTGTCTTGGGTTACCTGGACTCCCTGGCCCTGCTCAGCTTCACGATGGCTTTCCTGGCCAGGAACCTGCCTGACACATTCGATGAAGCCAAATTCCTGACATTTAGTATCCTGATGTTCTGCAGTGTGTGGATCACTTTTCTCCCTGTTTACCACAGCAGCAAGGGGGAGGTGATGTTGGGCATGGAGGTCTTCTCCATCTTGGCCTCCAGTACAGGGCTTCTGGGCTGCATTCTTTGTCCCTAAGTGCTACATTATTTTGTTAAGACCAGAGAGAAATTCTCTTACTGGGATCAGGGATAAAACACATTCTGTGAGAAAGGAGCATTTTTATCATTAAACATATTTCTTTCTAATATAACCAGTGGTCTTGAAGTCAAAGCTGATCCATGTGTGAAGTCAGATACTATATTATATGGCACTTAGAACCTTAATAAGTGACATAACTTCTTTTTCTATTAGCATAATGGTCACTAGAAACTGTGACCCTTATTTCTTTCAATTGATTTTTATTCTGGATATTTTGTTTATTTCAATCAAAGTTAATCCTGTTGTTTCTATGATTATACTATTCACTTTTATTCTATTCATTTTTAATTTCTCAGTATTTTTTCTCATTTTAAAATGATGTGAAATCTTCCTTTGTCACTGTTTCTGAATTTTTTATTATACTTTATTGCAGTTTCTTTTGAAGGTTTATGTTATCTTCTATGTGCTGATTATAGTACATTTTAGTAAGTGTATGCATATTTGTCTTCTCTCACTTCCTTTTGCAATGAGTTGCATTACTTTAAGTGACCCATCTCACATGGCTTTTAGGATACTACATTTGACTGTTAATGCAGGTATAAACATTGTTGATTTTTGATGCCAATGTATTGAACTTATAGAATAATTTGAATATAGAAAAAACTTGTAGATGTGTAGTAGGATGCTTTTCCATTCCACATTTGCATTTCCTTGTATCTTAATTATTCTTAACTGAGAGGTATATATGTGTACAATGTACATTTTGCATTATACTCTATATAGTTTATAAAATAAGCTTTCTTGTCATGTTTATATCCAAGTATTTTAAAGGGTTTTTAAATAATGCCCCAGTAAATGGTTTACCTGCCATATATTCTTATATATATATATTAATCTATATATATGAAGTTTTATTTCTGTTCATGATGGTATACACATGTGATCTCAGCACTATGGAATAGTGAGGCTATGGAATAGTGAGACTGTAAGTTCGAGCTCAACCTCGTATACTTTGAAGCTTAACAAGTATCTGTCTGAAAATCAATATTAAATAAGTCAGTAGATGTAGCTCTCTGTGTGCTCACAACCAATTTTTGGCTTTTGAGTCACCATTTTTTTTTCTTTAAATATTTAAATTGAAGAATTTCATTAGTAATAATGAAAACTTATTTCTGATTGAAATTTTAATTGGTCACAAGATGCAGATTTTTGACACTATTAAGAGTTTACTTGAAATCAATATTTTCCATCTATTTTAAAAGACAGTATTTCTCCTTTATTGGACTTTTGAGAATGCATATGCAATAAAAACTGTTTCATAAATGAACAGATTGAAAGAGTGTTTAAATGGATGGGTGGGTAGAAACAAGGATGGGTGGGAAGAAAAGAGTATCAAAGGAAAACAGTATAAGCAGAGTTCATGGGTACATCAAGGGGACTAAAAGGAAAAGAAAATTAGGGAGTAAATGAAATGGAGAATTGGATAAGGGAGCAAACTTTTGTAAATAAAAACAAAATGGAGAGTTGAACCATTTCATTCTTCTGTTGTTCTCTTTAGATGTTCCCAATATATTCCATCAAAACTTCCGTACAACTAAAATACAAAATATACTAATTTGTCATTTTCCCTTGAGAAACAAACTTTCAGAAATCCAAGTGCCTCCTTGAGTTCCCCTCACATCTGTTCAGCCCCAACTACCAGCATGACTGATTTATTTGAAGAAATAAAGTTGTAATCTCCTGGGCTTTTAGATCCCTCTCCTGGTGTCTCCATTTTCTGTATTTCCACATTCTAGAGCTTCTTTATCTGACAACAGTCCTTTCCAAATTCTTCCTACGAAGTAGCTCCAAATGCATTCAAACTGTATGCTTATGACAGTGACAGCAATGATTTGGCTCCAAAATCTCTATAAGTCACTTCTTCATTGCTGAGGAAAAATACTGATGACCTTCAACTTAAAGGAAGACAGATTTATCCTGTCTTGTGGATTTATTCACAGGCCAGCTGGCTCAGAGGCAGAAATGCAACATGGAAGAACATGACAGAAGAAAGCTGTTCAATCATGGCTGTCAGGAAGCAAAGAGACAAAGGAGGATTTGGAGACACGGACACAGCTATTTAGGTTAAGTCCTCAGCAAACCACTTCCAACTAACTTCACTAAACTCATCCAATGTTCAATCTACTGATAAACACAGGACACTATGATAAAATCACCTTTCAGAAAGAAGATATTTTGGGATTCCTATAAGAGATTGCAGGAAAACTGGAGTGGAAAGAAAGGAAAATTTGGAACAACTGTATGAGGCATGGGAAATCCCACGGGCCTGAATAGGCCATGCCTAGCCACCTCCATTGAGCCCCTGGAACTGAGGGCATGTGAGGCGGGTTCCAGTGTGCTTGTGCCTGGGGAGAGCTTTGGACCATCACCCCCAGATCCCCACCAAGTTTTATGAAAAACCATAGGAGTCACAAGAGATCCCATGGGCCTGACTAGGCCACACTTAGTCACCTCCTTTGAGCCCCAGAAGCTTAGGTGCACGAGCTGAGTTCCAGCATGCTTGCACTTGGGAATAGTTTTGGACCATTGTGTCCAGTGGTTAGGACACTGCCCAACATCCTAGACCACCAGAGGACTCATGGGAGGACACTGTGGGCCTGACTGAGCCATGCCCAGTGACCTGCAATAAGTCCTGGGGAGGTGTGGGTGCATGAGGTGATTTCCAGCATTCCCAATGGAAGCTTTGGGATATAGCTCAAAACCCAGAAATATACGAAAATGACAAAATGAAAGGCCAAAATGCAATTTTGAATCTCTAGCCAATTCCAAGCAAGCCTAGGAGCCATGTACATAGAAGAAATTACAACCCACACACCTGAAATGCCTGAAATGATATCAATTGAAATAAAGAAAAAACTACAGGAAGCTATAAAAGAACTTAAATCAGAAATAATCTCCCAGGTAAAAGAAGAAATGATAAATGTAATGAAAGAAATGCTGAGCACATCTAAAGAAGATCTAGTTAATAAATTAGAGGAACAATGCAAAAAGATAGAAGCCCTGACTGAACAATATAAGAAAGAGAATGCATGAAGCAGATTCAAAGAGATATACAGGAAGTGAAAATCTCCATTGAAAGTTGGCAAAACAGCCTCAACAAAAGCGAAGATAAAATTTCAGACTTTGAAGACAAGATTGCAGCTAGGGAACAGGAAAGGAAAGATCTTTTAAAAATGACCAGGAATCAGGAAAAAACAATTCAATAGCTACAAGATGATGCAAAAAAAAAAAAAAATAAGACTGATAGGGATAAGTGAAAAAGAAGGGGACAATGCAAATGATATCAAGAAGCTATTTACAGAAATAATAGCTGAAAATTTCCCAAACATGAGAATGGAAACAGATATTAGAATTAGTGAAGCACATAGAAGTCCAAACAGCCATAACCAAAATAAAACTATATGCAGACATATAATAATCACTACCCCAGAAATCCAACATAAGCATAGAACATTAAAAGCTTGCAGAGAAAAGAGTCAGATGACCTATAAAGGAAAACCTATCAGAATCACATTAGACATCTCAGTATAAAGATTGAAACCAAGAAGAGCATGAAGTGAAATATTTCAGATCCCAAAATAAAATGACTTCCAATCCAGACTCATGTACCCTGCAAAACTCTCCTTCAAAATGGATAAATAAGATATATCCATAACAAAGAATAGATGAACAATTTCAAGATCAGCAAGCCAACCCAGCAAAGAATTCTGAGAGACATTCTAGATAGACATAGGAAAAATCCACTAAGTAAAGCAGACAATTAAACAAAGTGGAAAGACAAACAGCAACAACAGAAAGATAATATATCAAAAGTAAACCAATACATATCAGTTATAACTTAATGTAAACAGACTCAATTCAACAATTAAAAGAATCAGACTGGCAGAATGGATCAAGAAACAGCATCCAACCATATGCTGTATACAAGAAACCCATCTAACCCAAAGGGAAACTCATACACTGAAAGTCAAAGGATGGAAAAAATACTTCATATAACAGGAATCCCCCAAAAAAGCAGGGGTAGCAATTCTGTTTTCAGAGGATGTGCACTTCAAACCAAGAATAATCCAAAGATATAAAGAAAGTCATGACGTGCTAGTTAGGGGAAAACTTCAAGAGGAAGAGATAACCATCTTAAATATATGTGCACCAAATTTGGGAGCACTCAGATATACAAAACAAGTAATGACAGAAATGAAAAATCAAATAAGGAATAACACAATTATAACAGGAGACCTTAACATACCATTGACAGAAGGGGACAGATCAACCAGGCAGAAAATCAGCAAAGAAATAACAGAACTGAATCAGACCTGTGAACAAATGGAATTGATGGACGTATACAGAGTGTCCCATCCAACAACATCAGAGTATAAATTCTGCTCAGCAGTACTTGGGACATTCTCTAAAAGAAACCATATAATAGCCCACAAAATATAACATACTTAAGTAAATGCAAAAATATTGAAATTATACCATGAATATTATCAGATCATAGCACCGTGAAGCTAGAAATTAACGATAAAAGAAATTACAAAACTCCCCACAAACACATGGAAATTGTGTAGTACACTGCTGAGCAATCAGTGGGTCACATAGGAAATTAAAGAAGAAATTAAACAATATCTACAAGCAAAAACAAATGCAAATGCGCCCTACCAGAACACATGGGATGCAATGAGAGCAGTCCTCAGAGGAAAATTTATTGCGGTGAATTCCCACATTAGGAAAACAGAATGAACATAAATAAACAATCTCTTGCTACACCTCAAACATCTAGAAAAAGAAGAGCAAGTCAAGCCCAAAGCCAAAAGAAGAGAGGAAATTATAAAATCAGAGCAGAAATCAATGCAATAGAGACTAACAAAATAGTACAAAGAATCAATGAATCAAAGAATATTTGAAAGAATAAATAAAATTGATGTCTCTAGGCACCC